CAGGCCTGAAACTGGACTCAGTATTCCCATTATGTCAGCAGTGCTGGGATCAGGAAATCAGCACAACTGATCTTCTATTGTCATGTTCCTGTTTGCAAAGACAATCTCTACAGTGATGCTCAGAGAATGGAAACTCTGGAGGGCACAGATATACCCAAGCAGGAAGAGCAGATGCTGACAGTAGGCTGGAAAGGATGGGGATAGGAGAGCAGCGACAGAATTCAGCTATTAAAAAACACAGATAGAGCTGAGGTACTGAAAGCCTTCTGGTTCTCTGACAAAAGAAGGTGCATCCACAGCCCAAAAGTTTGGAAGATGAGCCAGGGCACGATGCAAGGGGAGCAGGCACTGGGTATACAGTGCTGTCTGTATAAAATCTCCTACAAGGCACACACACCTTGCCTATCCAGACCATCCTCAGCCTTGGTGACAATTCCACCTCCCTCCAGCCAACAAATTCCAGAAAAAAACCACTCTGAATTGGTGTTTCCAGACACTTGTCAGCAACAAAACAAGCTGAAGGAGTCCCTGCCTCCTCTCCTCTCACATCTGGCTGCACGTTGCTCTTGCAGAACCATTCCTCAAGTTGTGCTGGCACGGTCATCTACAAGACAGGGAAGTGACTTGGATTAAGAAATAGCTGCAGAAATAAATGACTGCACAATGCAGGGAGACGAACTTACTCACTGGCAAGGGGGAAGGGGGACGGAAAAAGTCTAACTCAGAGTTGCTGCCAAGTGAAGTGTCAGTCAGACCACTGCTCCTCTATGCCAGAGCGCCTCGTCTGTACTCCAGTTTTGTTTACAGCAATTAGATGAGTGAAGGCAAGAACCAGCACACTAGCATTTAACATGTATGGAGGGCACAAACTGTATTTTCCCCATGTTTTTAGACCCAGTGACTGGAGAGAAAACAGAAATTCTCAGCACGGGTGACTCATGGTGAAGACAGAAGAAAAGATGTGCACAGAGCATCGTTATCTTTGATCTGCTTTCATTTAGCACTCACAGTCTTTTATCAAAAACCTTTGTGTGAGATGCAACTGAGAAAGCACAGGGTTAACTTGCTTCAACAAGTGAAAGTCTTCATTTTCTTCTCAGATGACTCTGTCTCCAAATATGAACAGAAAATCCATTTGCATCAACATTAGCTCTCTACATCATTAGCCCTCTGCAATCCATTTGCATCAACATCAGCATCAGAGAATCTCAAAAAACTCCCCCCCATGACGCTCTCTCCTAATAATTTCAAAATAATTAAAAACATCCATTTCCTCACTTGCAGTCCCTCCCTCTATTTCCACACATGCAGGCAAAAAAATCCCTTCCTCGTGCCACAAAGATGGGCCCAGATGCCAGAATCAAACTTTCACTACGTATTCTCTTTAACAGCTCTCATTTAGTATGAGCAGGTGGTGAGAAGGAAGCAGAGCAAGAAGGAAGAGCACTATTTTGGGTAAGGAAGCAATAACTGTGCTACTACTCTATTAAATAGCATGAATGGTGGAAATTTGAATCATGCTTTTACTGTATGAATGGTTAATTTCAATACACTATTATAAACAGCGATCCTCTCCCTCTGCATCTCAAGACTGCAATCTCCCTAACAAAAAAAACCATACACCTGTTGAGAAAGAGCAGGATCTGAATCAGACGTGGTGGCAAGCACGACGGATGCATTCGCTTGAGTTTTGTGTTAACCCTTCCTCCAACACTCAGGTTCTGGTCTCTAGGGCCCATAACACACTTCATAAAAAAAATGAGCCCACTGAAAGCAATGCTTGAAAGAAAAAGGAAAGAGGCTGTCAGGCTGGAGTCTGGGATAAATTACAGCTCATTTTTAGTTTCCCTGAATGGAAGCACTTCTGACAATAAGAGCTGCCAAGACAAAACCCTAGCAAGAAAATGAGATAGTTAAGAGTGTGCCTATTCACCCTCAGATAGGTATTACTGCAATGATAGAGATTACTTCCCAAGGAAATTTCATGGCATATATTTAAGAGGGCTGGATTGCACAGCTGTGTGTACAACGTCCCTTCCAGACAAGAATTAAGAGTTTCAACACTGGAAGCAATCTCTCTGCTTCCTGTGAGCAGAGGGCAAGCTCTTAGGCTAGTAGGCAGTGAGCATCCTCCAGAGCTGCATTTTTTAGAATGATCTTGCAAGTTTTTGCTGTTGAAACAAGTCACTTTCTATCTTGTGTGTAATCTGTGTGTCCGTCCCTCTGGCTCTCGTGCAGGGGTGACTACAGTGGTTTCTGCCTGCACAGAAGGGATGGCTCAGCTGCTCCTCCAGCAGCTGCTGAACCATCACAAATTACAGCTTACTGCATTGAAGTATGTAGAAATTGGTGCCTATCTTAGTATGCAGGACTTCAAACCGTGATGGGTCAGCAGCTGCCACACAAACAGCTGAGCCAACCCTGCAGCAAGGGTAGCAATGAAAGAGATGGCAAGAATGACTCCAGCAGCCCTTGGGTAAGGCACACTTGACTTAGTGTTGACCTCTGGTGAGTTACACATCTCTTGCTTCAACCTTTCTGCTGTAACATGGGTAGTTCCTCTCCCACACACTTCCTAAGAATGGTGCTGCATGGATGTGTGCACACGGCTATAAAAGAATGCTGCACATACTCGCTGTTAATTAATTAAGCACTGCCACACACTGCTCCAACTGCTCCATTTAAATAAAAATTGCTTGATCTGATAATGATACTCTTCATGTTTTATAAAGGTGCTACAGATAAAGAAAATAAAATACATCACCTGATTATTATTATTTTTTTAATGGCAAGAGAGGTACAGGAACCTTACTGGGAGAAAAAAATACAAATGTCATTGCCATGTGCTAACCTCTGCGTTAGTGCCAGCCCCTAGAAACTCATCTACAGGTAGCAGTTCCTGATATCACCAGAAGATGCACAGCCTGCTCTTGCTGTCATGCACATGCCTTCCTAGGACACGTGAGATATTCTTATCAGCTCTGCTTAGCATTTTCTCTGCTAGGTATTTTATCAGCCTCTGATGTGCTTTCAGGTTTTGGTGTGCATTTCAAAGCTATTTTAGCCCTGTTGTCATCCGTACTGCTGGCGATACATCCTGGCTGCCACTATCCCCTTCTTACACTATAAAGATGTCCAGTGGTTTCCCACACTGGTCTGCCCTCTGACAAAAAGTAGCTTTGACACAAAGCTACTCCCACTGCTCTCCCTACCAACCCACATTCCTTATTAGCAAGGCGTAATCATGGTATGAGGCACTTCTAACCAGGATGTGAAGACAAGGAAACCTCACTTAGGGTGCTGCTATCAGATTATGCATAGCCATCCCTCCCACTTACTCCCATCCCTTCTCACAGATAGGACATTGCTGCATTTTTCTCCAGCTCATGCCTTTCTTCCTCCCCACCCCACTGCACATCCCCTTCCTTTAGTTACACACTTTGTTGACGTTTCCATTTGCTAATGTTCTCATATGGAGAAGATGATGTGGATATGGGTTTCCCTTGTGCTGTTAATAGATTCCTGCCAGGCATTCATTTAATAGCACACTACAAGATGCGGCATGCATCTAAAGTAGTCACAAAGTACACTGTAATACATGCACCCAAACAGCACAGCCATCCATTCCCTACAGCATCCGAAGAAAAATGAAGGTTGAGAGGTTACGTGCAAAAATGTCACACTTGAATTTCCACCTATTCAAATGCTCAGTGAAGCCTATGAATTCTTCTCCATATTTTTTGCACATGGAATAGAAAAAGTAAGCACTGGAATCCCCTGGATTTTAGAATTCTATCTAACTTGCAAAGCTGTAAACAATGCTTGTTGCCTAGCACAGCTGTGCTAGATGTGATTCCCCTGCCATCCCACCAGCCACACACCTGGAGCAGGTACTTTGCCTGGAGCACAATGTAAATGTGCTTAACGCTGCTTTTACTTCCAAACAAGAATGAATATTTGTTCATACGACAAAACAAGATGATCATTTTGCACTGCATTTGAAATGCCATAAATAAATCCGATGGGAGTTATGTTTACCTCTCTCACCCCCCAAGTATTTTGCAATTTCCCTCCCTAAATCACTGACCTGCCTCTTTCTTCTAAGACTCCTAATCCATGAGTCAAACAAAACAAAAAAATCCCTATCTGCCTCCCCCAGATAAGGAAAGGTTAGGTAGTGCTACAAGCAAGTTAGAACAAATAAGTGCTACACTTGCAATCTGTTAATTAATTATTCAGAAGAGTGGGATTCTCTATGTTTAGCTTCACAGTAGTTTCTCTTCTGATGACTTGAGTGTTATATACTTAGAAAATTAAATTCTTTGCCATAAAACACACAAGCCTATGAAATAAAAAATACCTTACCTGCTCTTCACCTCTGATAACAATGTAATCACAGTGGTCTACTGTTTATAGGTGCACAATAGTTTCTGTTACAGCTCCTTCTTTCTCAGGATTGATATTTCAGAGATGAACTAAAGAAGGATTGCTCCTAGCTCCTATCAGTAGCTCACAGCTTATGCTTAGGCAATTTTTTGCATGAATGGGGAATGAAAAGAAGAATTCCTCTGTGTGTGGCTGCTGCCTCCCCTAACTCAGTGCCTTGGAAAGAGCTGTAACGATGCTTTATGCAGCCAGATATGGTGTGGAATAAAGAAGGGAGAAAAACCCTGAACTGGACTTGGGAAACCATTGCTACAAAGCTTTTGTCACAGCAAAAACACCTTCAAGCTACCAGCAGAAGTCGTATTCCTATCGCACTGCCCCAGCACTATCAGCACCCTCACACACACAGTTACAAGCCTCCATGTGTCCCACAGCAGCTCAGCTTCTCCAGCACCCCGCACAGCCTCAGTGACACCAACCCTGCTGTGCAAACCCTTTTGCACAGACAGCACCTGGCTGCAAGGTGCCGACCTCCGCGGGCTGCTGCACAGAGATGCTGCCTGGGAAGCATGTGGCTAGAAATAAATAAAACCCATCCTCTGCGGTTCACTTACCCAGCTTGGAGGCCCCATCTGGTGGGTACTCTGGGAACTGGCCCTCGGAGGGCACGCTCACCGTGCGGCGCAGGCAGCGGCCTTTGGTGGCATCTTGAGGCTCCTGCAACCCCTCGCTGGGCACCTGGGGAAAAAAAATGCAGACAGCTGTTAGCCTGCAACCCTGCTGAGAGCATTGCTTTCCAAATGGAGTATTAGTAGCAAACAAAAAGAGAGCGTTCATCTGGAATCGCAGAACGGTTTGGGTTGGAAGGGACCTTGAAGCTCACCTAGCTCCAGCTCCCTGCTGCAGGCAGGGCTGCCATCCACATCAGATTTGTACTGAAGGCTGTAAAAGATGCATGAGACGCTGCACTATTTTAGAAGCTACACTGCCTCTCGCAAACTGGTTCCAGCATTTCCTGACTTTCATGCACTTAGCATTAAAAATGACCTTAAGAGAATGCTGCTTGTCACTACTGCCAGTCTATTTGTCTCCTTCAAACAGCACTCATTTTTAAAAACACATTTCCCAAATCCCCAGTGGTTACCTCTGCTATGGCCACTCTCTTTGTTGGTACATATTTACAGCAGCTCCTTTGCTAAATGATCTGAGGTCAAACAGAGTAATTTTGTTAAGTTTACGCTACACTCATTCAATGAAGGTCACAGGTTAGATTTTCATTCAGGTTTCATCTGGAGACACCACTTGGTCTCTCTCTCTTTGGCACACTCTCTGTTCTTCAAAGCATGTTTTTGGAGGGATGCAGCACGCCCTACAAGCACTGAGGTGCTGCACCTTGCTCAGGGAACTCATTGAAACCACACTACGCCCCACACTTATGCAGCTCCTGTGGGGTAGACTTCTCCACCATCTGACTTATAGCTGAGAAATTCACGCAGTCCTTCTTCTTTTAAGTGCCCTCCTTCAGTACCTTTACTCTCTTTCTGGCACAGGATGACAGAAACATTCTTTGTATCCAGCGAGGTGAAGGGCTGGCTTGAAGCACCCTGCTGGCAATGTGTAAGAAGGGTGACAGTGGCCGGTAGGACAGCCTAGGGGCAGGGACAGCTTGCTTCCAGGGCCAAGGAGGAGGTTGGTGGCTCAGCCCACGCTGTCTTTTGCGTCCTTGGGAAAAGCAAACAGGCAACAGCACACTGCAGCAAGTGCCGAAAGCAAACCGACCGCTGCATACCAGAGATAGGATTTATCTTCAGAGAGGACCTGAGCCATTAGCAGGAAGAGTGTCTGAGGGTTGAGGTCCTGCCCCTAAGCCACAGCACCTTCTTGTACTCACCATCCACCAGGACCAGGAAAACGTGGCTGGGTCGCACACCAAAGGAGGGGCATTGGTGCAGTAACACTCATCTGGTGCAGAACAGACCTCACCAGACAAAGACTGCTTTTGTTACAGTGCCTTGAGAAACACCTGATACTATTATTTCACTAGGGAATTCTGCAAGCTGCACCAGGAGCAATACTGCACCAGGACTGAGGAGAACCACTAAGCATTACAAAGTCAGGCTTGAGCAGCACTTCAGGCTGCCAGCAGGTTTTTGTGCAGTTTTGCTGCCCTGCTCTTTGACCTGCTGAGACTTCAAGCAACTCTGAATGGCCCAGCCCTGCTCTGGCTTGCTGACAATCCTGACAATCCTGACCATGTTTCACTGGTGATTTCCAAAATGTAACAAGGGCAGGTTCACAGCTCAGGCTTTCATCTCTCAAAGAGTATCACAGCTCACCTGCTGCTGAACACGCTTCTTAAGTATAAACCTTGTTCCTGGGATTTCTAGTATGATGATGGAGAGATTTCAGATGAAACAGAGGAACAGCATCACAAGCATTTAATGCCACTTAAAGTAAGCTGGGAGCTTTAAAAAAAGAACAGAAGAAGGCAGAAAAGAGCTTCTCCATTGCAGACAGATTTTTTTCAGACCAGAAAGACCAAAAAACTTGAAAATCCACAGCCTCTTCTGAATTAATAATTGGGAAGTTTGGAATCACATCAACAGTTACATAACAATAAAGCTCTTCACTTTAGCTTTTGTCTTCCTTGAGAAAATTAGAAGCTGGCTAAAATCCTGATTTAAGAATCCACTTTAAAAATGTTGATAAGCATTTCCTGGGGACCTTGGGAGACAAGTAATTAAACTCATTTGGTCACTGAAACAAATCTTATGCCTGAGTTGAACTTCGACAAACTCATATTTATGGGCATACTGGATTAGTGGTACCAAAAAGGTGAGGCCTGGGGTGTGGGGGAGAAAAGGGAAGAGCCTATCACAGCGATAAGAGATTTGCATTTGCAGCTGAATGCAAAACTGAAGGATTCTGCAGGACAGCAGCCAAGTTACAGACAGTGACTAACCCAAAAGCAGCCCGAACCCAGATGTATTCATTTCTCACATCCCTCATGGATGTGCTGTGCAATGGGTTATCTATCAGAAACTGCTGATCAGAAACACTGACTCATTCCCTTTTCCTGTTTCAGTGCCTCTGTTTTCGCAGGCACCCTATATAGTGCCTTCTTTAGAAGTGGGTGCTCACAGCTCTTGCCTATGGAACAGGTTTCACTAACGCTGAAGACATCCACACTCCTGACAGTGGGAAATTGTCCTCCTCATATAAAAAAGAAACACTGATTTGTAAGTGAGAATCAGCCTAGACCTGTTCTCCTAGTCTTGGAAGATGCTGCTAGGTGTTGCCACACCACAAGATGTTCTAGTAATTGCACATCTGTCACTGAAGCCTCCTTATTTGCTAAGTCGTCCCTCACGCCCTTACAGGTGCTCATTCTCTTTCTACTTACTTTTTGGGTCTCAGCCTCTTCCCTTCATTAATAATCTTCATTCTGCAATCTCACCTATTTCATTTTATGAAGTTGATGAGCTGACAAGTAATTAATATTTACCTACGCTGCACACGGTGATACTCTCAGCCTATTTTTGTCTAAGCAATTACAGATATTTTTGGACCAAGTTGGACCAAATTTCTCTGATTCCCAACCTACTGTTGTGCTTGCACAGTGCCAGTCTGTCTGCACACACTGTCCAAACCGCCTCGTCAATAAATCTACGTGGGAGTGGGCAGAGAGGGTGCTAGAAGAAAAAAGGTTTCTTACTCATTGGTTTACCTTTATTCTGTTATCTCAGCCTTAAAATAAAAGACTGCACAATGCATGATGCCGCATTCTAACTGAAAGCCATTTTAGCAGTTATTTGAAGCAATTAAGACATCCTTTCTTTTCCTCTTCACACGTTGTACATGTTTTCCTACCTTTTGGCTTTCCACACATGCTTGTATAATGATTCTACAAAGTACCATAAACATCAAACATTTCTGTTCCCTTTCAATTCCACATGACCTGAGCTTTCTTAGATTCCTGTTCTGGGAAAGAACAAAGCAGATGCACAGAAAATCCAAGGAGATGCCTCGGATGCTCCACACCACATTCACATTACGCCAGCTTTGAGATGACACAAGTGCTCTGTGCAGCTGGGAGGGCACTGCTGTTAGCACCTCTTCCTTCTTCCCTCCCACCCATCCCCTTACTGATGTGTATCATTCTGTTCCTCAAATTGTTTCTAAGATCCTCCTCAACAGTCCAAAGAAGATCTGACCGACCTGCTCTATCAGCAGTTTCCACATTCAGGGCAGGAACCTCTCCATCTTCCTGTTGCCTCACTTCAGGTTAACAAAAATCCTTCTCCAGGATCACCCTTCCAACAATTTCACTCTAAATATCATTTTACTCTGAGAATCTGTTTTCTGCATTTTGTGCTCCTTCCCCCCCCCCCCCCCCCCTTTCCTCAAACCTTTAACCCCTACCCTTGCTTAGGAAGGTGGTATCTGGGATCCCACCCAGGGGCTCTTTCCCATTCTCCTACACACTTCATCATTCAGTTCTTCCCAAGCTCACAGGCCTCTGTCCTCTCCTGCCTAGAGACCCCATGTCACGGGGCCTTTCCCCTCCCAGTGACTCACCAAGCATAAGGCACCACGCTGCTGCCCTTCTCCAGGAAAGCTGTGAGGGATCCCTCTGCTTGGGAGGCATTAAAGGTGCAAAATCCAGAGCATCAGCTCCATGCCTCAACCAACATTTCTACCAGTGTAGCTGCTATATTTCTTTAAGGACTTGCATGTACACTGCTGTATGTAGACATTTCTAGATGAAAACAACCTTTTATTTTCCCACAGGCACTTGTGCCTGCTAGGAGTTCCCTTTTCCCCTTCACTTAGTGCAGTCCCAATTTACTTTGAAATCAGAACAGCCAATCTGTCTCTAACTTCTGAAACAAATCACATTATCAGCATGTGGAGTCACACCTGCACCAAAGGCATGTCTGCCTGGCTCATCTGCACACAGCATTCTCCAAAACAAGTTATTTCTCATTGTGATATTGCTGGCAGACTCCTTTGAGAGCACGTTACAAAGGTTTCCTTTACTATACTTAAAACCCACGCTGCATATGCCCCAACGTGGAATTTCTCCAGCTTCTAGGAGAAAACAGGCTAAAACAAAGTGCATTTAAATACCACATGTAATGACTTCACATCAGCGATGCTTCAGAGTTCCCATATTTACTCCTCAGGATCTAAGCAAGAGGCTCATCTGACTCCCGGCAAAATGTTTTAACTGTAAGTGGTAAGGAAAATTAACAACCCTTAAGAGCATGGTTACCACCTTCAGATAATTATTGCTGATATGAGCCAGTGTTTTTTTTTCAATTATGCTCCTTAATGCATCTCTTAGTGAGATGCATCCTTTTAGCCCAGCTGTGCTGGTAGAGCACAGCTTTAGGAATACTTCTCATGTCCTTACATTTCTTCAGGAGATACCTTAATTCCTTAGGTGACATTCCTGTCAGACTAGAAAAAGAATTATGTAGTAAACAAACATTATGATATGGGTCTTCAATTTTCCCTGCATTTGATTACCTCTCCTACAAATTAGCATTGATGCTGTTCCATTCTAATAACTCAAGTCGTCCTCTAAACCTTTTCCTCCCACTCTCCCCATGCAAGGAAATGCTTCAGCCCTTGTAAGCACACCTAATCAAAGCTCAAGATGGATAATGCTTAGTGCTACACCGGGAACAGGTCTCATGCTCTCAGCTTGCAAAGAACCCAGGCCATTTCCAAAATGCAGGAAACCACGGTATTAGATTCAAATTCATAGACGTTTATAGACAATAAAGTCTATTTCAATAATCTGAAATCGTTCCTACTTTATAGCTCCTCCTGAAATATTTAAATGGCAAATCTATAGCAGAGTAATTAAGCAAACAAACCCAGGAACATTATCAACTTCTCAAGCTCCTGTATTTGCAAGAGCCTGTAGACATTAAATACAACAAGAAAAACAATACTGTGGTGTATGCTTGAGAAAGGACTTATCACCATTCGTTTGCCCACAGTGCTTCAGACAACTAAAATATGCCTATTCTTTAACCATATTGACACGACCTTCATACCAAGGCACAATGCCAAATCCTACATGCTATATACACATACACACAGTAATTTTATAATTAAAGCAAAGGTTGCAATAGCTTTGAGTATTCCACGCCAACGGCCACTCAATCCTGTCTGCCAGATTTAGCAAGAGAGAAGGCAAACCCTTGTCTCAAACAATTTACCTTCTGACAGCAGCAAAATGACTGCAGAGCACGAAGGTTGCACGCTTCCTCTACTCCAACACAGGCACCAACAGAACACTTTTGCAAGCTTACGTCTGCACTGACGTGAAGTTTAGGTAGCCATGGTGGCTTTAGCTCCATTAAAAGCAGAGCTAGCACAGAGAAATGCAGTGGCAGGCTGAAATGCTGGGCCTAAAACTCAAGCAGGGAGCAGTGGATGCACTCATTTTGTTCTGTGCAACACCTGGGCCAGCTGTTTTGTAACTCTGCATGCCATGCCAGCTATATGCACAGAACTGGTTAGCTCTCCCATTCACACACTCAATTTGACTTGTGAGCAGCTAAAGAGAAGGAAAAAAAAAAAATAAAGAGAGAGGTGAAGAAAGCTGCCTTCCTGTGTTACCACAGAAGGCCGACGTGTGTTCTCTCACCTCCTTCTCCCTGTTGAGCAGCACCAGCTGGCTGTCAGTCAGGATGCAGTACTTCCTCTCCCATGTTGTCGTCTCGGTGTAGGGGGACTGGCCGCAGGACAGCCTGTGCGTAGGTGGTCCTTTTACATCTGTGAACACAGAACGGGGATCCTAGCATCATTAGCCCGTCTCATTAGCTGCCCTCCTTCAGCTCTGTAACTCTGCAGCAGAGCAGTGAGCTGTACTTAGCACCAGCATGTTAAAAGAAACTGCTAATCTTGGGAGGCACCATGGGGAAGGGAGCGTGAGGCACACCATGAATACTTATATGTATCTACAGCACAGCTTATGAAAATAACAACACCTGAGAAGAATATGAATGCTGTCGCCGAAGACAGAAATACAACCAAAAGCAAAGAGTGACAGCCTGCACGCAAACTCTGCTTCCTTCTGAGAAATGTGGACCCTGGGTGTCCTCAGCATCTTAATAAACCTATGTGAGACTGAGGGCAGAGAGACATAGGAAGGGAGATCGAGAGCAAGTCAGGAGGCACAAAGAAAGGGAAATCTCAGGGGGATGGCATTGAATTGGGAAGGGCTTCCTGGCATCTTTTCAGCAGGGAAGCTGTCAGATTAAATCGTGACAGACAGCAGTCTCCCAGCATTTCCATCCAGCCACAACCGCTCTGGTGACAAGAAACTAAAAAGTCAATTTGCCTCAAGACTCTCAGCCTCCAGCTCCACACCTCATTGTGCCTCTTGCTACAGGAATTTTCCTCCAGGACCAGAAAGGAGAATCACAGAATGGCCAGGGTTGGAAGGGACCTCAAGGATCATGAATCTCCAACCCCCCCACCACATGCAGGGCCACTAACCTTCCCACCTGATGCTAGACCAGGCTGCCCAAGGCTCCATCTAATCTGTCCTTGAACACCTCCAGGGGATCCACAACCTCTCTGGGCAGCTGTTCCAGCACCTCACCACTCTTTCCGTAAAGAATTTCCTCCTGATGTCCAACCTAAATCTCCCCTCCCTCAACTTAAAACCATTTCCCCTCGTCCTGCAGTTATCAACCCTTTCAAAGAGTTGATTCCCCTCCTGTTTGTAGGCTCCCTAAGAGAATGCAGACAGAAGCGTGGCAGCTGTGCAGGTGGCACTGCCAAGCAGGTGAGCCCTGAACCAGAGCTGCTAGGCAGCTGGGCACACTGACTGCAAGCCGGGCAGCTCTCTGACCCAGCTCTGCAGCTTGCTGAGCTACTGCCAGGGGGATAACGCTGCAGAAAGCAGCACTGCCCCATCGCACTCGCTCTGCAGGAAGCCAGCAGCCCCCCACGTATTTTAGGAACCCGTAAAGCAAAATGAGTGTTGAAATCCTGCTCAAAGAGCTTCACAGCTTTCGCACGCGGCTAAGGACGATGCTTGCCATACCTACTGCGTGCATTCACCACTAGAGGCCACTGAATCCTCAGGCACCCGCCGCCTGCAAGGGAACCACGTTCCAAATCCCACCTCGTTACTAACAGAGCTGCGACATCTCCGTGCTCTCCACCTACTCACAGCAGCTTTGTCTCAGGGCCCACTTGGAAAGCTGGAGAATTAAGCTGCAAAGCAGCTCTCGGTATGCAGTTCCCTGCTCACGTTGCGTTAGGATTCTGCATTAAGATTTTGTGGTCGCTCAGAGGATTACCTGAAACGTGCAATCCAATATCTTTAAGCAGGAAAAGGCACAGAACAGGTGACTGTGAATAACAAATGAACTGAAATCTCTCTTTGTTTCCTGGCTGTCAGGTAGGACCATTCAGAGAAGGAGGGATGCTCAGAAGCACGCCCTGCACCACACCAACCAATGCTTGCTTTCCAGCAGCCACAAGCAGCACTGCACAGGGCCAGCGTACCCAAATGTATGTGTAGGCAAAAGCAGGGTTTGGGGAAGCCACCATGGTCCCTGTGCATCCTCCACGTGCTGAAAGAGCCCAAGTGAGGAGCAGCAGGCCAAAAGAATGAGGAAAATCTCAGCCAGGAGCATGCAACAGATGCAAAGTCCAGACCTTGGGATGCAGTCTTTTGGGTAGAGGAACAGAAAATCAAGGGAAAAGGGATGGAGAAATGCGGTAAGGGAGCAACCCGCTCTGGGGCTTCCTTTCCCATGACACTGCAAAACCCTTCTGAACCACCAGCTCCAGCACACAGCCTACTACACTCACAGCTTGCCCAGCCCCACAAGACTTTTGCATGATAACTTCTACTAACTAAAGGCTTTGGCATCGAACCATCCAATCGATCTGCGGGCTGCACAGAAGGATTAAAGAACAGAATGGCTTCTTCCAACTGCAGTAACAGCTCCCGGACTTCAATGAGTCATTGGGTGCAGCAGGCCAGCCTCGGCTCCCTGCCAAGCAGGCTGGCCATGCTGGAGGAGCGTTCTGCAGACTGCTGGCAGCACAGCGTGCCACCTCGGTGTCTGGAGCTGTCAGTCACTGCTGGAGCACGCTGCAGCTTTAACATCTCATGTGTTAGCGACCTTCCGAACGCATGCCAGGACACAGCCTGGCAGCCCTGCAGGCTGACCAAAGCTGCCTTCCCAAACAGAGCAGTGACTGGTGGTAAATGACTGTCTAAAGCATTGGATACCTCTGCTTCTCTCCCTTCTCTGATGCTAGAAGCCCGTCTTGCAAACCACAGGGAGCTGAATGTGTAAGGTAGCTGCCTGCAACAACCACAAGCTTCAATGCACTCGTATCTAGCAGCCTCCCTGCCCCATTCCAGTCCTTCCCTGCCCGAGCAGCCAACCTCTGCCAACAGCTATAACTTCAAACCTTACCCTGAAATACTTTACAAGTTCAAACTGAAGACTCCTGGGGACTTTGCACAGTATCACATATACGCTTGGTTGCTTCACAAAGCCCATTTTGTTTTCCAGAGTTCTTCATCTTTGGTTTTCACTTTATATTCTTGGCCCCAATGTGAATGCAATAAAACCCACCGATCTCTGCCACTAATGCCCCATAAAACTGATTTAGCAGCACTGATCGGATCACTAAGGGGAGGTAACAGCAAGAAGTCCATATGTATCGTATCTGGGATTGCTTTAGGGAAAGGTTGAAAATAATGGAATTGCTTGAGTTGGAAGGGACTCTTAAAGTCCATCTGGTCCCAGTCCCTGCACTGAGCAAGGACACCCACAGCTCCATCAGTGCTCACAGCCCATCCAGCCTGACCTTGGTGTCTGCAGGGATGAGGCACCACCATCTCTCTGGGCAGCCTGTGCCACTGCCTCACCATCCTTCTTATACCTTTATCAAGGGTGCCATTTCTCACCTTGGGGTCATTCTCTTTCATCTCATACAGAATTATTGGTTCATACAAGCTCGGGTGTTAGAGAGCAACTCACTGATGAATGTACTAAATGAGATGCGGGAGGAGCAACTGACAGCTTTGAGTCTGCAGGCGTTTGGGTGGGATGGGCTCGTGCAGCCACACACCTGGGCACGCAAGCACTGCTGAGAGATGCATTGCTCTACTCTGGTGCAAACCTTCTCCTTCTGCATCGCTACAATGAGGCATTCAGGAAGGCAGAATCAGTTAGACTGCACACGGTATGAAAGGTCATGCCTTATGTGCCTTCAAATGCTAATATCAATTAAGTAACAGCTTGGAAGAAATCCCCTTCTCTGTCCCTGCTCCCTGCTGAACTGAGCAGCGCCGCTGCCCGCCTGCCACATCCGACACAGCTGAAGAGCTGAAACTGTGCCGTTTTTCCTCGGGGCTCTGAAATGCCATGAGGCACGTTATAAATATCCACAAAGCTCCCATTCTCTCAGCCAAATAACAACTTGTACCTTATTATTAACTACAGAACTTAAAGAGAAAAAAAATGGGGGGGAGGGAGGGAGAGGGGGGAAGGAACAGTCATACTGCAACTGCGTATCGAAAAGAGGTGTTGATTGGTACTGGGAGAAGGAAGATGGAAAGAAGGAGCCAGCGCCAGGCTGATCCTGCAGAGAGGGATAAGGCAATTTATGAAAACTGATGGCAGTTGAGGGAGTAGTACCAGTGCTATCAGATGGGAACGTTACTGAATCTTCCACTGCAACCACGCAACAACAAAATTTCCAAGCGCATTCATAAGTGGAGAACACTTTCCAAAATGCAGGATTCAATGGGTAGGATTGGAGAATTATTTCCGAGCGATGTCAAACGTTCCAGCAGCATTGAGCCCCCAGCAGCTCTGCCATTACCAGAAGGAGGGCATCTTCTCTTCAGAAGAAGTGAAAAAGACAGAATTTGCAAAAATCGGGCCAAGAAATCTACATTAAAAGCAACAAAATGACATAATTCACATCTTCGGTTTCTTTTGCCAAAAAGCACTCTCCCTGCTATCAATAAACACAGAAAAGCAAACCTCCATCCCAGCGATGACAAGAGCACCCCTGGCATGAGTCAAAGCCCCTTTTCTGAGCCAAGCTCTTCCTGTGGTGAAACTGAGGGCTTACTGAAGTACTTGCCAAATGTTCATCGACTTTATTAGGGTCTGTATTCTGCTCCTCGTGTTTCCAGCACGGAGCTGCCAAGCAGCTGAGTAACTAACAGAGCAGCCAAGCTTGAATGCACGGAAGATTAGAAGGAGCCCTAACACCTCCTGACAACAGGTCTACCCACCCGGTGTCAGTGTTTCCATGATGGTTTATGTACTTGCCATAGAGACTGGACTCAGAGAGCTGTAGGTAAATGCTGTTGTCTGAGATCGGGACTCAGACCCACACAAATCCGCATGGGCAGGCAGCTCAGGTTGAATAATCGTCAGTTGGAATGTTCATCAGGCTGCTGAACAGGAGTTGAAGCTTCAATTGCTACTGATGTGAAGCTTCCTGACAGACAAGGGGCAATTAAGAGGCTCTAACTGAACCTGCCCTGTCTCTAGAAGGTGATGAAGGTAGTGATTCAGTGGAAAGACATGGCAGGAAGGGAAGTGTGCCATGTCTCAACACGCCACGTTCCTTAGACCTACACTTAGTAGGAAGGCAGGATTTTTGCAGAAGGAGTTACCAAGGCAAGTCAAAATAAACAGCAAAGTTACGCGACATAAAGCTATGTGTATCTGTGACTATTTCAGACTGTTACATAGCATTGAGATGAAGGTCCACAGAAT